CTCAAGGAAAACTTTTTGTTAATGCGCAGAAGGTGGTTTCTTATGTAAATTTGTGAGAAATAAGCGATTTTTGGTAAAACGAACGTTGTTTTGAAATTTCCTGATTGTGTTACATTACACCAAATCATGATTCATTATTGGCTAATCTTCTGTCTATCATCATGTGACTGCAACATTTTTCAGGCGATACTGGGGTAGTTTAGCTTTAGACGACCCCTAAATAAGGAAATGTGACAATTCGATGTCCAATAAAAACATTGATTTACATATAAACCATATGATGTGCTGGGACAGTTTACTTATTTGCGCGAGTAACACAAACCAAAAAGGAAGTCAAATTTTCTAAATAAACCAAGTGCGTAAAGATAGAAGTTTAGGTTAGGGAGTTGACATTGGATCCCGATATTTTTAATTAGTGCATCAAACCAATCAAATTTTGTGCACTCCGATTGGCCATTTCCTTTTAGTGGGTTTGTTATTACTCGCGCGTGCATATTGGGATGGTAATGACAAATTGTGTAATAACCGGTTTATTAACCGGTTTATTACACGGAACTTGACTCCGGCTTTATCTGCTATAATACCTGATATAGTACTACTGCCTTCTTCGTGGAAAAATTAAATATCTTTTCACGTTTTGTATGAAGGCAAGCAAAAAAGAGCAAACGGATTATATTTAAGATCCTTTATTCGTGAAGTATCAGTCGTAAAGTATCTAAGGAAATACGGATGAATATTTAGAAGCCGTTTTAGAACTACTTATATTAAAAGTTAACAACTCATGGCTTCTCAAATTGAGAAAATTGATGCTTTTTTTTTAGAAATAGAAAATCAGATAAGACTTCAAGATGAAATTCAAAATCGGGCAGATATCGAACAAAAATTTAAAGATGGAAAAATGATAATTGATAAAATAGAAGATGATGATCCAGAGCAGCATGGATGCTATAGGTATAATTATCATATAAAATATGCTAGTTATTTAACAACTATTGGCGAAGTGGAACGTTCTAGTAAACAAAAAA